CAATCCAATCAAAATCACGTCAAATGCCGAGACTCCCGCAAAGTTTCCACTTGTGTTTATGCAAATCGCTGCAAACTAATTTAAGGTTGGCATGACAGCCGCAAATTAATTCAAATTGAGTGATCACCATAAAGCAAACAGTGGCGTAGTGGCCACCACGTACCGACAAAGCTGGATGGACCACGGACCGCAATCCACTGGCTATCTAATATATGCCGCAATATATATTCCATAATATATTCAATTGTGTGGCCGCTCGTAGATGGAGTCAGAGTTTCGCAGGGAGTGGTAGTCGTGGCAGTCGTTCGGGGTCACCTGGTTCAGTGGGTCAGGTGAGGTCACGTAAACAAGCAATGCCATAAATAATGCACATCATTCAAAAATTCAGTCAGCTATTCTATTTTACGACATTCGGTTGAATGCACTTCAAAACTTTAACTGGTTTTATTGCCTCTGCAGGCGTTGAAAAAAATGAAAAGCGCAACAAAGGGGAAAAAATGTTTTAAAAGTCAACAAGGATGGTACAAAAAAGAACAACTTTATTGTGAATAGCAAAGTGATAAAGCTGTTTATTAAAAATAAATGTAAACTTATTTCTTTTATTGATAATATAATAATAATGCTATTGTATGATTATGATACTAATATTTATTTTTACTTAAACAATTGTTCCTTAAGACTTAAGGAATATAAAATAAATTTCTGTTTCGCCTAAAATATATTTTTTGTGATTGATTACCTAGTTTTTTAACAAAATATTTTTGTAGTAAATGATACTCTTTTCCACTTCTATCCAAGAAGGGAGCTGGAAACATTCCCATATCCGCGAACTTTTTCACATGACAAATTATTCCTTTTGCAGTCGAACCAAATCAATCCTTCACATGACATTTCCTGCCTTTCCAGAGGGTCCTCCACCAGACATTATTGATTTCTGCCGGGCGAACGGAGTTCCATGTGTCAAAATCGACTTAACTGTTGCTATTGGCCAGCTGTTCGCCTGCTGGCCCCGCGTCTATTGAGTCCACTGATGGACGTCGACAGACGTCTTACAGGAAGCATTTGTCAGCACACAGGCTGCGTGTCAGAGGTCCTGTTTCTGTGCTCTGTGTCTGGCTCGCAATTTCTGTCACGCACATCTCGGCGGCAGGATCTGCGACAGTTTCGGTTGCCAAAATCCAATTCGGAGGTTGGCTCTATATACTGCTGCCGAGCAGCAGCTGGATGGATAATCAGTCAGACTATTGAGCCCCCGTGACTTTTGCCGTCTATACATTTTTCTCATCTACTTCAGTTTGGTTTCATCACGTCGCCGAAAGTCGCCGTTTTTGTTTGATTTATTTACCTGGTGCTGGCCAGTTTGGCAACTGTTAACTGTCCTCTCGGAGGTGGCCATTATCCAGACGCCATCGCAGTGGCGATGATGATGATGACGTTGCCATGTGGGTCGGGATTTCGGCCAGCAGCAGCAGCAGCAGCAGCTGTGTCCTTGTTGCGGACCTGTTTTTGCCATCCGCCGTCACTCGCCACGCATGCCAAAAATATCTAAGCGTCATGGCTGACTGAATTTGACCGTCAGGTGGGCAGTGATGAATAAAGTACTTTTAGATGGTAGATGGCAGAATTGTACTACATTTTAGGTACATTTTAGAGTGGAAACTTTAATTCGGGGTAATTTTTAAAAACAAATTAAAGTTTGACAATATGTACGAGTCATAGAAAATACTTGTATTTGTATTATATTTAGTTTATCCCGGAACCTATGTACTTACTTACCCATTGATACTTATAAAAAAAATTTAAATTATACATAAACTTGTCTCATTATTTTATTGTGACAAGAAACTAAAACCTTAAGTTTTTTTTTGAATTTGCATTAAGTCTGAGTACCTAACTCAGTGTACCTAACATAATTTATTAAATCTGGTACTTTCACCAGATCGCTTGCCATCACTGAAGTCGAGCGATTGGATGAGTGAGTGATTTTTTGCGCTGTCCGGTGTCTTGGTTATCCAGTGACATGCATGTGGGTTTTGTGGCTTTGCGTACCACACGGCGTATGCGTGTCGTCTATTTGTTATGCTCTTTTAGGGCGCAAATTCAATTTGTGTCCTAACCTCACTTGCCACAGATGTTTGTTTATTCGATGACCCGCCCACGAAAACATCTGCTCCGTGCTTTCGCTTGCCAGCACACTTCACAAGGATCGATTCCAGGTTTCGGCAGTTGATACGGGACTGGATATGCATTTTTAAAGAGCCCAGAGACCAAGTTTGCCGCAGAGATAATTTCTGTGATGACCAGAACCTTTTAAGTGAATTAAAAGGTATCGGAATATATGGCCCACCCCCAATCCGAATTTATGAGTTTACAGCTTTGTTGAGGAGTTTGTTTTATTAATTGGCACGTGCTGCCTGCATAATGCGCCTTCAAAATTAAGTATACGCCATGCGGTGCCTTGGAGTGCCTGGAGTGCCTGGAGTGTCCGCGAGCCTTTGGCCATTTGCATGATGGGAACAGCTGGCTCCACGCGCTGATTGCAGCAGCAAATTGCAAAGTTATTAAGTTTATTAAAAACCCCTGGCAAATAGAAAACAACACACAAAGGCAACAAAGACATCGGCGAGCAAGTTGTGAAAGGCAATGTAAATTCCATTTTGTTGGGCGCTTAACTTTTGCGTCGGCTTTGCCTGCTCTGCAGCAATTCTGCATAATTTACTCGAAGCATTTTACAAACAATGCAATGCTGCCCCTTCCTGCTGCAGAACTCGATTCGGTTGGAAGCGTCGGCAAGTTGCAAGTTTTTCGCTGATGCTCGTTAATGTTTGGCCAGCTTTTCCCTTACCCCATCCCCCCTTTACTATTCGTCACCCCCACCATCAGTCGCTTTCATTACCAACTAAAACAACGGCAAGCAGGAGCAACTGCAAAAAGCAGCAACACCAGCATCCTTTGAACGCCCTTAGCTCGTTGTCACTTGCGACTGTTTTTGAGCCATTTTGGGGATTTCTCCTTCCATTTCTGGCCATGGTCGTGGTATTAAACTATCTTAGGGGTATAAAAATATTATTGTAGATATAACAAAAAATGTGTATTGCAAAACAAAAATTTTATTAAAATATTAAAATAATTATTTAACACGATTTGAACAATTTAATTGATATAGGTCCCAAGGTGTAAACATAAATTTAACGCTTACAAAATGCTTATCAAACATTTGACTCATGAATAACCAATTTATTTGAATTATCAAATTATTACAAATTTTATGAACTTACCCTTTTATTGCGCTCATGTTCCTCCTGTTTGCTTCGTTATGAGTTTTGCCAATTTGTTGCTGCAACTGCTGCTGCCCTGCAATTTTCAGCAACAACCCCCTTTTCCAGCCATTGTCTCAGTTATTTTCGCATTTAAAATGTCTTCAAGTTTTTTGGTGTGAAACTTTTCTGTGATGTTTGTTTTAAATTATTTTTAATGACTCACCATTTTTGCCAATTTGTTGCGCTTTTTTGTTGCCTTTCGTAATTGTAAGTGCAATCGATGCCCCAAAAATGTTGACAACTTTGTACACTCGCAATTAGGTCAACTTCGTTTATGAGATGCCTTCTTAAACTGTCAGGCAAATAAATGTACTGCAACATAAAACTAAACTTTAAAAATTGATAAATATGCAGGCGGCAGGTCTTCGTTTTCAATTTGCGAAATCCTGTTGCAAATTGCACTAACGGAGGACGAAGGACGAAGGACGCTGGGAAAAGGCCGGCTGGATGAAGTAAAAATGCGAAAGTTGATGCCACGGTCTCTTATAGCTTGCCAGGTAAATTTCTGCTCACATTTTCTACATTAGTCAGCATTAAAAATTTATTTGCTTTGAGTAGATTACACGCACCCACCGCACAACCAGGGGGCTCGAATGGATTTACTTGGGGGGATGGGACTACGAGGAGTAACGGCTTCTAAAGTTTCCTCATCTTTTTTGCACCATATTCCCCGCCATAAGATAGAGATATAAGGAGTGTGAGAAAAGTGGCATAAAAAAAGGGGGAAAAGCGGAGAAAAATGCCAGTTTCCTGGGACTTGCGGTGGGTGGTTGGCAAAACAAATGAGCTGACTGCAAATTAAGTGCAGCTGCCAGTTTCACTTTGCAGCGGCAACTACTTTAAACAAACTTTAACTGCGCTTTAAGTTTTCATTCAAAAGATGCTGCGGATCATAAATCGCAGAGATGGCCCTAGCTTTTACATAATGATGTCCGTCGGTTCATCAGCATAACGAGCTCTGCGTTTACGCCATCTGAAATGTTATTAATTTTTCAAAGTTAACTTGGTTCTGCACTATCCTTTTGCATTTAATACTTAACTTTATTCTCTTCAATTAAAGCTCTTACCGATTTATTCAGGTAAAAAAAAAAGACAAAAAAAGTTTTTCAAACTCTATGAAGCTACATATTCTTATTTTTTTTGTTTATAAGTAATTTTTGTTTTCAATTTACAAAAAAATTAATGATAACATTTATATTCAGACCTCGAGAACTGCTTTATTATTAATTTTTAAAAGAGAAAAATATAAGGTCTACACCAATGTGCCTACATATTTTTATATGAATACTTAAAGCTCTTTGATTGTTTTTTACTGACGCTCTCAGCGAGCTGATAAAACTCGAGTGCTTTTTGGTTCGCACTTCTCGAATAACGTATTCTCTGTTTTGCTACATACATAAATATTTTTCGAACGATTTAACAGAAATTCGAAAGACATTATTTAACATAAAAAAAGTACTCATCCAAAATTTTTCTCAACATTTTTTCATATCTTTATGAAATTGTTGTCAGCCTGATATACCCCAGAATTATAAGGTAATTCCAGTAAATTCCTCTCAGAGCAAAAAAGCCCAGTTTGCTTTTAAATGCGTCGGCCGTTGGACGGCCGTTTTGCGATCGTGCGGGATCAAGGAATACTATATAAAACAAGTTGTTGTTCTTGCTTCGAACAACCAATCGATGAAGGCCATAACAGATATCAGTCATTATGACCTGTTTCGCATTCTCGACTTTTTGAAACAAAGCTGCGAATTGCAGAATGCCAATGAATCTGTTGCTGCCATCAAATATGCCGACATCTTTAACTTTGCCGTTACGTGTGCGAGGTTCAAGAGAATCGTTTGGGATTGGTCGCGATCGATGTACGACCAGTTGGAAATCGATCTGCTGCACGTAGTTCCGCACAAACATTTGACCGTCAAGTTTATGGAGATTCATAAAACCCTAAAGAGAGCCACAAAGCAAAAGAGAGACCGGTACATGGACCTATATATCAGGGCAATGATGGGGAACCCTCTGCTTAACTCCGTTGAACTGAGCTTCAACACCGAGGAATATGTTCGTGAACACGAGAGTATTTTCGAAGAAATTTTAAATGGACTGCAGGGCAAAGCAGAGCGTGTGGTTTTGGATCCGGACAGAGTTCCGAAATTCAAGGAGTTAGTTGTGGATATCGCAGGCAAGCTAATTCCTCGCCTATCAAAATTACTTTCACTCTAAAATAGTTTCATCTTTGCAGGTCATGAGATTCGAGGTCTTGGGCTTTTTCGCAATATAGTCAAGCTGAGCCTAACATCATCCTTTGAAATGTTTGATCTGGTTGAGTTCTGCTCCAGAAATCCTTCACTGGTCACCCTAGAAGTCAACGCAAGTCAGTTTTCCGACCATGGAAAGTTAACTCAAATTGTTGGCCATTGCCCAAACTTGAAACAACTGAAATTCCTGCTGAGTACCAATATAGGGGATAATGGTTATGTCAGGCTCTCACTTTTGGACAAGCTGCAGAAATTGGAAATCGGTTGGAAGCCAGTGGAAACAGAGGTCAATTTCCTGATGCCAACCTTTGATAATGAAGGTGAAGAAGTCATGTTGAAGGAATGGCATTCGACACAGACTTTCGAAATGGATGAGGGTCTCACAACAAAACGTCAGAGAATGGACTATGAATATGAACCTCCAGTCGCAGAAGTTCCGTATTTTGAGCAACCCATTTCCGTGCTCCAACTTCTAAAAGCCTTTAGCGAGAAAAAAAAGTCAAAACTAATCCAATTGTGCTTAAAGTTCGATGTTGATGACGAAATGGTGCAGGTCATTTCGAAAATTAAAGGCCTTAGAATGTTAGAGTGTGGACTTTGTGACCCCAAAAGTATTGTGCACCTTAAGAGCCACCCAAACCTTACGAGAGTGAGCATTCGTAATAAGGGACACTTTGTTACTGAAGATATTGCAGATTTACTAAAAAAACAAGTTACCGTCTCAAGTGATGATTCAAAATTGTTTTTATCTCCCCGGGGTCACCTAACTATTTGCTCAAAGAATGCGGAAATCTATCGGTTGGTGAACTTCGAACCTTTCCTAAGACTTGACAACCTTAAAAGTCTTGGATTATCTGCTAAAATGATCGTATTAATGGCATCAGTGCTACATTTATTTTTGGAGCGCGGAGTGAAGATCAAGAGCGAAGCTTGTAATATAACCCTAGATCCCGAAACTCGCAGTCTGAAAATCATTTACGACAATGACTACTTAGGTGAAGAACTGCCTTTGCCAATGGTAAAAAATGTGCGCCATTTCCGATATTTATCTGTTAATATGCCAACTTCTCGCTTGCTTCTTAGTTTATCCACTCTGAACTTCAAAACGCTGCAAGAATTATATATCAGTACACCGTTTACAACATTTAAAGTATCTGAAGATAAGTACCTCAACCAAACCGTGGTTAAGTCCTTGGTCACCCTAAGCTGCTTGAGAAAAATCTCTTGCGGATATCAGAAGTTGAAAGACATTCAGTTCTTGGGTCAGCTGAAGGATCTGGAAATCATCGAGGTTTTATCAGAGCACCACCCAAAAAATGTGAACTTTCCAAGATTCCTAGCTCCCATTTTGAAGAACTGTCACAAATTAAATTCCTTTCAAGTCAATGTTCCCGCCAATGCAATAACAAAGAAGTTTTTAAATAGCCTTCATTATGCGGTTGTGGCCAATAGAGATAGAGACTTGAACCTAATTCTTTGCTTAATGTGGAGAGAAGCAGAGGCACAGGTAAATATCTGAAAATACGTACACTTCCCTTCCGTATTTATTTTATTAAATGTTAATTTTTTTGCAGATGGAAACAGCTTTAACTTTAAACGAGAAACAGGTTTGTCTCTACTGATCCAAATTGCTTCACAAACTTACAATTTATTATTTGCAGAAAACATTGATCGATAAACCATACCAGCTTATGAAGTTGAGAATAAAATATGTTGAAAAGGAATACTTCTTTGATTAAGCGTATTTTATTCACCAAATGAAGTGCATTTTGAGTATTTCTAATCGACCTTATTTATGAGTTTTAATTTAAAGTACACCTTCGAAATAAATCATTTTTAAATACCTTTGTCTAGTTTGCCATAAATTTCGTTAAGAACCAACTTGGCACAGCCAAAACGGCAATTAAATAAATTCAATTTGCACCTGACGACAACATTATTGGATTGCAACTCATACAGATGAAGTTAAATAAATTAAATACAGACATTCGCAGATATTTACCACGCACACCGGAAAAAGACAAGTATTTACTTTGCAAGTAAGTTTGCATTCTGATTAAATTTAACAAGCTTGTCGCTTGATGGAAATTATTTTACTCTGTGCTTGCAGAAAATCTGCATTTTCCCATCCTATTGAATGACAGGTGTTTATTTTTGGGAAATGCAATTGAGCGGAATTTCATGACGCAGGCATTTTGCCAGATGGGCTGCGGCTTAAGTTATAATTAAATAATGAGTCTTGGGAAATCGAATTCAGTAGAGGTGAGACGCAGGACTTTGGGTAAGTCCATTTGGCACGCTTCGATTGAAATGAGCAAGTGCAGAATGAAAATTGTCAGGTATTTGTGGAATTTTCGGGGATTTTGTCACGACCCTCGCACTGATTTTGGTCCCTTACAGGCAAGGTTTTGCAATTGCAATTTTTAAGCCACATACAAATTGGAATTGACATTTAATAGACAACAGCTGGCACTTGGCATTGTTTGTGCGCGTGTGTGTTGCGGTGTTGAAAGTGCCTGGGGGCATTCTCGAATGCAATGCAAATTGCGTATACGCAGTGTGTGATGCGAGTGGCAATGTGCAAACTAAGCATCGAGCAGCCTCTGTTTTATTTACGCACTGAAAACTCGTTGAAAACATACAAACATACAAACACACACATACATACATATACATACACAGAAGCAGAAGGGAAATGTTGGAAAGAGACAATGAATGTTAAATTATTTAGGCCGAGTGCATTAGTGTTCGAGTCCTGTCGCCCGGACAAAAGGACAAAAGGACCGAAGCACCGAAGGACGGACGACGGACGACGCACATTGGCATAATTTGTCAGCTGTCGGGCGATTTTGTGAGACTGCTGCTAATTAAATATGCCGACATATAGGCAGTGCGAGCAAATCTGCAAAGTAGTTAAGTGCCATGCAAATAGCCAATGCAGACACAACTTGGTCGGGATCGAAAGGCAATCCTAATGCGGGCCCAGGACAAATGCCAATGCAAACAATGGCCCAGAAAACACAAAGAACTCTCCTCCAATCAGCCGGTTCACTTCGATCCACTCTTAATCAGACAATGCCAACGGATGCACAAGCACTCATCTGTCGAACCAGATTCCTGTGGCTTCTCCATTTGCGATTAATTCAGGTCTGGCGTTAAATATGCACGTATTTGTTTTAATTTCATTCTCATTAGCCATTGATCCCGTGCATTCCGTTGGCTTTTCTTAAAAGGCTTAAGCCCTCCGCCGACATGAGAAGATAAGTGCCTTTTGCCCCTTATCCTACGTATAGTAAGTCATGCCAGCATATACATGTATTTAAACTGGTAACCGAAACCCGGTCATACATCGCATTCTCATCTCCGGCCCGGATAATCTTTATTGTTTCACAGTTCAGTGACACAAATTTGCAATTGCAATTGAATGAATTCTCACATTTCGGGTGCGGGTTTTCCATTCACACACAGCGATAAGAGTGGCGGTCTGAAAAAATGCAGGAATATATTTATACTGATGCAAAAAGCACAGTAAGCGTGGCCGACAAATAAAGCCCGGGCAATGGCCTATAAAATGCATTTCAACATTCCAACATATCTGCCTTTACGGCTCGCACTCAAAAGCCAGATGTATATTTTATTTAATCAAGGCCAAAGAGGTCAATGCGTTGTACGATATTTATTTAAGGCATACGTCGAAGGTTTATTAAAATACATTAAACAAAAGAGCAACGCTAATTATGTATTAAATGCAAAAAAAAAAAAAAAAATTCTTCCCTCAAGCCAAGCATAAATATTTGTGCACTTAATTACAAAATGCATTGCAAAGAATTATGAACTCGCATTTATCGGTTCGCTGACTTTGGGCATCAATTCAAGCATTAAAGTCGGCAAGTGAACTCTTTTTTTATTTTAAATATTTAATTTTGTGAAAGCGAAAATATGGAGAAAAAACTGTAGACTGATAATGGAGAAAATTTGTCCCATGTATTTTCCACCTTTGTTTGGCGTTTATTAATTTGAGCTTAACAGCGGTTAATTTTATGCATTATCTTTGTGCTTCAAAAAAAGGCCCAGAGGCTATAATTATTCAAAGCTAAAGAATTAACTTATAATAATTAATAATTGTAATAAAATTGGTATAGAGTAAATTTTTATATTTTATTATTGTGATGCTTGTTGAACTTCTGTTAGTTTTCAGGCAAAGGTCTTATATTTTATATTTCCCATTCCCCAGCACCGTTTATTTGTTACGAAGAACCCTTCTGGGCAAATTCAATTAAACGTTCGCTCCGGGTCCGATTCGTCCGTTACCCGCTCTGCCAATTATCTACCTTTCTGCGCAACCAATTAGCCATTTTGTGCGGGTCTCGAGGGCGATGGCGAGGGGAAAGGGAAATGGGAAATGGGGGAGGGGGTCCATCAAATACACCTGAAAATGTGTCTGAAACTTCAAACCGCCACTTTGAGTGAGCGGAGGGCCTCTAGCCGTAAACCAATTATTCGAGCTCCCAGAAGGATGCCGCCTTGTGTCGCCGTTGTCAATTAATTGGATTATTTATGTGTATTTTGATGGCAACAAAACGCAATCACTTTGCACGCGTGTCACAAAATCTCATGGTCCCGGGAAAATTGCCGACGTAAGTCTTTCAAACATATTGCGTGCCATGTAAATTTCTGGCTTTGGTCCCTGACATTAATCCATGCAAAATTGATGGTTGAAAAAATCCACTGAGTTCATTCTTTCTTTCTAAAAATAGGTCAATTAATCATATACAATCTGTTAAATGCATCGTGTAGTTAATGAAGGCAAATCGTTAATTTATTTCTGCCTGCTTGCAATTATCAATGCTTAAATAATTATCACATATGCAATTAGTTATTCAAAGGTTTTTTTTTAAGGACTGCGAAACAAAAATACAAAAAAAAATGATTCATTCATTTTGCAATTAAAGCCAAAGTTAATTAAAATACTTAACTGGCAACGGTCAAATTGAATAAAAGTCCGAGTTTTTAATAAAAAACTTAGTGTAATATTTTTTTTTTGCAAGTGAGAAAGCAAACCGTTTGCGGCAAGAAAACTCATGGTGTAAATCAAAGGACTTTTAACTTCATGAAAGTTACTAAAGCTCAGTCTTTGGTTATTGCTGTAAAATGTCCTTTGGCAACGCACTTCCTTGGAAAACACCATAGAAATGACTCTGTGAGGTCTGCTACCGGTAACTGCAAGCTCTTCAACACTGACATGAAGAACTACTGACTTGTCGGTGAGTTTCAATATCAAGGCGAATATTTTTGGGAAAGAGAAGGACATTGAGCTTAATAAAACCCTAGTAAGAACTGGATGCGGCACTGATGACTTTGTGTTCGATAAATGTCAACAAGCTGACCAAGTTTAAATTGAAACACTTCACCAAGTTCTGCATCCTGGCATCGAAATATGCACGACATTCTATAATGTTTCGAAATATCCAATTACGAAATAGTCTGATGAAGCATTGCACCACGTCGGGCTAGTTCAAGTGTCAACAAGCCAAGGATTTTGTCAAAAACTTTGAAACTTTTGCCCAAGGGCAATGTAAGTTTAAACTGTGAACAGTGAAAAGGTCACACGGCTTTGTTTTGCCCTTTGTCAAACAATGCAATTAGTTTCTCAAGCTCTTTTAATGACAAGAACAAGCAATCAATTCACATCACTTGTAGAACATATTAATTAAAGTTAAACGATTTGGTGTTCAATGCGATTTAAAGAGCTGCGGCTTAAATTCTACTATTTAAAACACAAAACTGAATGTAATTGCAGTCAATAAATGTTGGTCAAAACTTTTGTCATTTCCGGGAACACTAAAACTTCAACAAAAGTAATGATGGAGCAGTCAAAATGATAAGAAATCATTAACTGGAATTTTTATAAAAGATAAATTTTGTATTAGAAAAACCAGAATGGGGCAGAATCCGTCATAAATGAAAAAGTTTAAGCGACAAACAGTCGGCTAACTCTGAAATAGAAACAATAATTTCCGCCGCCACCCCGATTTTCCCCCGGAGGGACACAAAGCCCGCTTCCTGGCCACCAACTTATTCCCTTATTCTTTTCGCAGCCCACTTCCGCCCACTCTCGACGGCTTTGTGCCCACACTTGACGTATTTCCGTCTACGACAGTTGCCATTTTGTTTTCCCAGTCTGCTCCTGTCTATCCGCAATCACTGTTTATTTGTCCTGCGCCCTGCTTACTGTCACTGAAAAATACGAAAATAGGAGAGTAGAGTCTGCGACTTTCAGATTGCCCAACAGGTGACATCATTTCCTTTTCTTCTTTGTTTTTTTTTGTTCGTATTCTAAGAGCCTTTTCTAATTATAAATTGTTTTTAGCTTTAAGTGAGAAATTATACCAAATTGTTTCTGACATATTTCATTAACAGTTCGGAGTTTCGCATAATTGGAAATGCCACTCCACCTCCAAAAACGCTTTTTACTTTTAACTTTTTTTTCGGCCTCCGACCCCGCAGGGGAATTTATTTAAATTGGAGGGGAGTGTATAAGCAAACAATTTTCTTTAAAGTCGTTTCTGGCCACAGTTGTTTATTTTTGTGGCGAGTGGTTTTACAATTCGTTAAAAAAATAAATCGATTAGATAATTGTACAAGAATTTGCCATAATTCAGAATTAGCTAAAAATAAGTAGGTGGAAATGAAGTAATGATTTGAATTTTATGTACAATTTGTAAAATAATATAATTTTCTAATTATTTACTAAATTATTGCATAGCAAATTTATTATTGAACAAAATAACGTTATAAGATTATCAACTTGAGGAATTAAGTTTAAAAGTGTTCCTATCTAAAGCAAGATAATGTAAAGATAAGATAAAGTAGTACAACTTTGACGCATATTTCCTGTGTCATTATTCTACCTTTATTGCATGCAATATATTATATAACGCGTTAAAAATAGCAACTTAAAGTGTGCTGAAAAACGGTTACAACTGGTTTTTCGAGTTTAAATGTTTAATAGGTACACTTACGTGGCATTTAAAAATTCTATAAATATTAAAAAATATCAACAGGCCAGGACACGCATCCCCCTTACACACACACACACATACACTCACGCTCTCACCTGGAAGCATTAACTTTTATTGGCACGGTACTACTACTACTGACCTACTTTAAATAAAACCGAGAAGGCTCAGCGCGCACACACACACAAACACACACCTGCTGACAGGGCACACGCATAGGAAGCACAAACACCAATACAAGACGGAAGGAGCGGAAAAGCCGTGCTCAGCAGGCGTGCTTTGATCTATGGCCTGACTGCCAGGCATTTTCCTCTTTCCTTAGCTTTTCCGCGAAGGTTCCAGCCAGCCGCAGCGGTAAAACTTTTCACCGCGCCTCGAGCTCGAGGAGCAGCAAGTAATTTCTTTCCGCTGCACGTTAATTAAATTAACACAGCATGAGATCGAAGCTTCGACTGGGTGAAAACCAAACCAATCGACGATTCAATGTCACAGTTTATTTAAAAATGCAAGTCCCGCCTACGAAACGGCATTAATATTTATTCTGAAGCGATTAAAAAGCTTCCATTAAACTTAAAACAGTGACCAACGAAATACAGTGGTTCCTCATGAATTAAAAATATACCCTATATAATTTTTTTTAGTGTAAATGTACTTTGATTTTTGATAATCTCCCGATACGAACGGGATGTTAAATCAAGGCCAACCCAAAAGCCATTAACTTCACCCTCTCAAAACCCAAAGCACGATTAAAAGCTAAACAAGGAACCCCAAGCTATGTTGTAAATCAAAATTTGTAGAGCAGAACAAATGTATTATATTTCGTATAGTTCCATCGATCTGCCCTGCCATGAATATATATCACAGGCCCATCATCCCCGTGGTGAGGGGAAACAATTTTAAATAATTCAAAGCCGCAGACAAGAAACTTGCAGATGCCCAGGGACAGACTGCGCACATAAATGGAAGTATAGTATCTTGTGGATACATGTGTATGGATAATAGTGTCTTGCAGTCAAAGTGCGTGTATGCAGGGAATTATCAAGTGTTGTCAACACAAGCGCACACGTCGCTCCTTCAAAGGACACCCCGGCCACAGGGCTTATGTAAAGTGAAAGTGTGCGCGGGCGTGTCATAAGAATGGCAGCCACCCAAAATCCACACCCACTTTCACTCCCACTTTCACTCGCTCACTACCGCCACCCAAGCCCACTTGTTTGTGCGATTGTCTGTGCGACAATAAACGAACTTACACATGCGAGAAATGCGACGGGCAAGGAAACGACCGGAAAGGCATACATAAATAAGTTTCCGGATTAAACGCACACCTCCTCCTTCGTCGCCATCGGTTCCTTGGTTCCTTGGGCGGACTTCCTCGCAAGTCGGTGCAATAAAACCCAAATGGAACCGGGCACAGGCATTACGAGTAAGCCAATCTGAACTCATATTTCGGAGATTTTCATCACGCACATGAAAGACAGATGTGCATTCATTCGGGTTAAGCGTTTTCTGCCTGCCTCTGCTCAACACAATTAAAGTGGTCTGGCAAAGAAAAGTTTTGTAAAGGGTGGATGAAATATTTATATTTCTAAGTTTTTAAGAAAAAATATTTATTAACCTCCATTGCCTAATCTTATTTAGCTTCAAATAATTGATAAGTATCGAACAAATTGTGACCTTAAACTAAATTGTGCAAAAAATCTCCACTTGGATATTTAAAGGCATTTAAAACTTTGATGTGACATCTTATGGTGTTACTTATTCCACAAATTCCATAAAGCATTTCATTTCACCATCTTTGGACATAAAGCATTTTGTGTCGTGACGGCTAACGCTTTTTATTTTCAGTTTGTTTATGGCCTCGCCAAAAAGATATTTCATTTTTATTCGAGTGTGTCCCTGCACGTGGACCACATTCGCATTCAATATTCAAGAGTCTCAACAAATTACTTGAACCCTTTTCATAGCCCGTTGGATGCCCCAAAAGGCTTTAAGTCATTTGTCAAAAAGCGCAAAAACAGAAAACAGAAACGCACAGAGGGACTTTCGATCCCAGTGCCACTTTCACACTTTCTTACTTATGCAAATGTCGTCTTCTCATTTGCTTGCCAGAGAGACAACACAAACGGATATAAAAAGGATAAGGCATAATACGATATCAGAGGTCCTGCCCTGCGGCTGGGACTACCAAACACATTGCCTGTCATCTTTTCGCACATTAGGCCTACTTTGTTTCATGGGCCTCCGTCTGATTAAATTACACACATTTTTGGACACGGGACAAGCGGTGACAGATCATTGAAGCGCAACACTGACATCCATCCTTGTGGGTAAGTAAAAATCAAAAACATGTCACAGCCAAAAACTAATCTGCTAACAAGCTCATCAAAAACACGAATGCAAAGTTGATCCATCCTTGTTAAAACATTTCGACTAAAATAAATCCTCCAACGCTGCAAAGAAGGATAAATTTACTCATTTCCTTCCTTTTAACCAGCCGAATTTAATGCGGCCAATTTACGTCGTCTCCCTGGAAGTTACCAATAAAAAAGGAAGACAAGGGAAAAAACATTGAACCAGCTATCTGCGATGTACCAGAAACCAATAGCCCGAACATTCCCCCTAATTGTATCAAAGAGCAGGCGAATTTATGGTCCCAACTATTAAAGACTCCACCCGAAGCTCCTTCAGTGCTGGTATTTAATGGCCAAGCTGGGTAAAAAGAATATAAGGCCAGGATGTGAGCAAGGATGTGGCTACCACGGCTATTGAAGGTGAGCAGCACATTATGAAAAATTCAATTATAAGCTTTTAATAATGGTTCGAGGGTGTTTAAATCTGGACAAAAGTTTCTTTGTTCTTCCTTCAGGTGGATTGTAAATTAACATGGAGCTAAAGTTGTTCATAGCTGAAGGTGGCATGATTACTTTTTAAGTAGAAGGTCTGCACTGCCAAGCATTTTCTATAGTTGCGTTCAAACTATGTATTACCGTTAAAAAAAAATATAATGTTTGATAAGCTTTTTAAGGTTAGCGATTTATCGATTGTTGGCGCCAAAAAGATATCGATTATCGAGTTAGCAGATATCAATTTCATTATCACAGCAGTTTTTACGTAGGTCAGTTCGCGAGAGACCGGCAAAATTGTTTCCCAGCTGATTGCTGACGTGTTCGTATCCACTCCGAGCAAAAATAACAACAGATTACTCATAACAATAAGTTCCAACGTGGAGTTCGGTTCGGTTTGATTAGAACGATTATTTTAAAATTAGTTTCGTTTTGACCGCTTTAAAATGAGTGCTGCAAATATCGAGGAGCTCAACGACGACTGTCTTCGCTATATAATGGAATATTTGTCTACTGAAGATCGAATAAGTTTCGCCCAAGTGGGCCAGAGATTTCGACAGGTTTTCATCAATGGAAACTATAGTAAATACTCCGATTTCACAATCGATTTAAACAGTACGAGGAATGAGCTAATACAATTTTGCATATGCCGCGAAAAAGTGAAATCGTTAACAATCGTTTTACATTATTTTGATAGACCAGAATATGCTAGGAACTATGGATGTGTGGCACCAGTGAACTGTTTTCAAATTCTTTGTCTAAATTTAGCTGCAATGATTAATTTAGTGGATCTAGTAGTAAAACAACAGTATATGATCTCCCCACCTGTTGATGAACCCTTCCATCGAGTTCTGGCAGCCGTAAGACACTTGCCGAGGCTGAAAAAATTGAAAATTCAGGCCAGAGAAGGTAAGAAAAATGATTTAAAAAACACGATTCTATATGGATTTGTAAATGTATTTAACTTAATTTTTTATAATTTCAGATTGCAATGTTGATTCCCTGACTCAGCTTCATCACATTGAACACTTGGAAATCCTCATACCGAAAATTCCCATAGAAATTCTGGTGAAAATCTGCAAGTCCAACGCAAATCTTCGCAATCTCCAACTTGGTTATTGGTGCGTTCAGAAGAATCTGGGAGACATAGTGCCATACTGCAAAAACCTAGAAGTGCTTAACTTTGGCAATCCGGGAGCATCTTCGGACTTTGTTGCACTGGGTAGGCTTCCGAAACTCAGGGAGCTCTATTTCTTCGGGATTCGAGGGTTCGGGTCCTTTGAGTCACTTCTTTCGCGATTTGCAACCAAAAAACAGCTGACACACCTGTCCATCGACTGTGTTAGCCTTGTTCCGCAGGAGACCAAGCATTTGATCCGCATCCAAGGCTTAAGATATTTAAAATGCTTCTGTCCAACGATTGAAACTGTGGAGATGCTAGCCACTCTTTTGAATCTGGAAGAACTCTGCCTTTCGATGACCTGCTCATTGGATATCACCAACGCCCTACTGCTAATCATTGCAAAGTGTACAAAATTAAAAATTCTTCAAATACCTATGGGAATTGTAAATGGGAATATTTTAAAAGATGCCACTGCAAACTCACACTTGGAACTGATCCTGGGATAAGGAACTAAACTTCAATTGTTATAAAAGATCTCATCTGTTATTCTCGCGTGAAATAGTTTGATAAGCAACTAAAAAAATTAAAAATCAGACTCTCCCAAATTTTAAATTTACTCATTTTCTTTACTTTAACCACCCAAATTTAATGCGACCAATTTACGTCGTACGTAGTCTCACTTGAAGTTACCAATAAAAAGACAAGACAGGTGAAAAAACTCGAACCAGCTGCGATGTACCAGAAACCAATAGCCTGAACATTCTCCCTAATTGTATCAAAGATCAGGCAAATTTATGGTCCCAACTATTAAAGACTCCACTTGAAGCTCATTCAGTGCTGGTATTAAATGGCCCAAGCACTAAAAAGCAAAAATGTGGGCAAGGACATGGCTATTGAAGGTGAGCAGCACATTATGAAAAATGCAATTATAAGCTTTTATTAATGGCTTGGAGGTGGTATCATCTGGTAAATAGTTTCTTTGTTCTCCCTTCAGGTCGATCGTAAATTAACTTTACGGTAAAAGTGAGTAGAAGGTAAGTGGAATGCCTGCACTACCATACATTTCATAAAAATAATGCAATATGTTTAAAATTCACATAACATAATCCGATTTAATAATTATTTGAATAAAACATTTAATTCTGTCTACGCATTATCTTATACCTAATTTACTCTCCCAATAGCTTGTTATATTATTGTATTATTAAAAGTTAAGTTTTTTACAAAGCTTTTTTAAGTTTAACGATCTATCCGATTAATGGCGCTTAAAAAGATATCGACTTGTAAGTCAGCTGCAGATAGCTTTTCAATTTCATTAATACGGCAGATTTTACGTAGGTCAGTTCTTAAGAAACCGGCTTACTTGTTACCCAGCTGAATTCTGACGTGTACGTATTTACTCTGAGCGAAAAAACCAACAGATTACTCATAACAATAAGTTCCAACGTGTCGTTCGGTTCGGTTTGATTGGAACGATTATTTTAAAATTAGTGTTGTTTCAACCGCATCAAAATGAGTGCCACAAATATCGAGGAGCTCTACGACGACTGCCTCTACCATATAATGGATTATTTGTCTACTGAAGATCGAATAAGTTTCGCCCAAGTGTGCCGGAGATTTCGACAGGTTTTCACCAATGGAAACAATAGTAAATACTCCGATTTCACAATCGATTTAAACAGTACGAGGAAAGAGCTAATACAATTCTGCATATGCCGGGAAGAAGTTAAATCGTTAACAATCGATTTAGATCACTTTGAGTTACCAAAACATTTTAGAAAATATGGATGTGTGTCTCCAGTAAAATGTTTTGAAATTCTTTGTCTCAATTTATCTGGAATGAATAATTTAATGCACTTGATTGTTAAACAAAAGTATAAGCTCACCATGCTTGCTGACAAGCCCTTCGATCAAATTCTGTCAGCAGTAAGACACTTGCCGAAGCTGAAAAAGTTGAAAATTCAGGCTAGAGATGGTAAGAAAAATGTTTAAAAAGCAAGAACTTCAAATAGAGTTTTGAGAAAGCCACTCCTTAAAAGCCTTACAGTAATATTTCTTAATGCTTAAAAGGAATTTTAATATTTTTCATATTTAAGAGTCTGAAAATGTATTTTAATAAATTTGTATTTATTTTTATTTTTCAGATTGCAGGGTTGATTGCCTGTCTCAGCTTCATCACATTGAAGATTTGGAAATCCTCATACCGAAAATTCCAAATGCAACTCTGGTGAAATGCTGCAAATCCAATGCAAATCTTCTCAGTCTTCAGCTTGGTTATTCCTGCGTTCAGAAGGATGTGAGAAACATAGTGCCCCATTGCAAGAACCTGGAAGTACTCAAGTTTGGAATGCCTGGAAAATCCTCAGACTATGTTGCAGTGGCTAGGCTTCCGAAACTCAGGAAGCTAACATACTATGGGATTCGAGGGATCGGGTCTTTTGAGGCACTTCTTTCGGTATTGGCAATCAAAAATCAGTTAACACACCTGGCAATCGACTGTGGAAGCCTGGTTATGCAAGAGATCAGGCAGTTGATTCGCATCCAAAACTTAAGATATTTAAAATGCTTTAGCTCAACAATTGAATGTGTGGAGATGCTGGCCTGCCTCTCGAATCTGGAAGAGCTCTGGCTTTCGATGTCCTCTCCATTGGATATATCCAACGCCCTTCTGTTAGTCATTGCAAACTGTAAAAACTTGAAAAGTCTTCGAGTTTCTGGTGGTATTGTAAATGCGAAAATTATAAGCGATGCCACTAGAGAGATTAATTTTGGGAAAAGCGGAGAATCTGCAGACTCACTCTTGAAACTAATCTTGGATGAATATACCAAAAAATAATGAACAAATTGTTAATTATTTACTTATTATTTGAGCTCTTATCTTGTAATTATTTCCTGAACTTTCCTGAACACTTTGACGAGTAAATATTATATTTATATTTAAGATTAAAATCTGAACTTTTGCCTTTTATTATTAGAGATAATTCATATTGCTTGGGCTGAGACTAATCTTCTCGAGTTCTTGCATTTGTTGCCTTGCCGTTCAAAACACTTTGCTGCTCGAATAACTTTTAAAGTATGTCGCAAATTTCGCATACTCAAGTGCCAAGGCAAGAACATGATATGAGTATCTCAAAAATAGTTGAGCAAGTTGTTCTCCCTTCTGGGGGGATGATGAAAAATGCACTTTGTAATTCTGGTAGCTCGTCAGTGTGGCACATGCAACTGCAACGTCGCCCATCCGTCGCCCGGTACTTATAAATGTCACATTAGAGTCTCGTTTTTGGAGAGAAGCAGGAAGGGCGGGGAAAGGGACTCCAGCTCGTTATATTTCCGCCCACGGCGGGAATGGGCGTGGTCCTGGCTAAAATTGTACTTACAGTAGCTGTAATGCGAATTTATATTCCTGTCACATACACATTATTCGTGCGATTCGTTGTTCGGTAAATGGCAACAGTAGCCCTTGAAAAGTGGTAAAGAAAGTGGATTATTCCGAAGCCCAGTCTGATCCTTTGAATTCTTTTTCTTTATTGTAATTAATCCGAAATTGGAATACATTATACAATAAATTCATATTGATTACTACGTGCATACAAATGAAGTGAAAATTACTTATAGCCCCTTTCAATATCATTTTCCTAAATCACGATTTTTTTCGATTTTAAAAATCAATGTATAGCCTTCAGCTGTGGTACTACTACTTGAATTTCCCTCTCGAATTCCGCTGAATAATTCAACTGTTGCTTTCACCCTCCTCAGTGAAAAATATCCATATCCCTGCCATCAGTTAAACCCTTTTTGTTTGTTGTCTCCTGACAGAGCATTTAACGAGAGCTGGCCATAAATCTTTTCTGGCCAGCAGTCGCCACCTATAGACTGCGCCAAATAGATTGAAATACATTTTCGCTCTTATGTTTCTGGGTTTTCAGGACTTTTTATTTCACTTGGACTTCATTGAGAATTAAAGTCTGCTCCCAAAGGGATTTGGCGGCATCAGAAGTCGTTGTCTGGCCGGCAATTTGTCAGTCGGGCGATAATCTGACGGGATGGAAGTGAAATGCGGAGTCGCAGACATTGTGCGAGATTTCGATGTCCTCCTTAAAGTGCTCTAATCACCTCCATTGCAGGGTGTTTGTTGGCCCCACAAAACGTGGCTTTAACTTCCTATATCCGTTCGTAGTGATTGCCACGCAAACGTATCGATTCGATTCTCCATTGTGAGCGCTTCAATTCAATTGATTTCCAGCGAAGAAAGCGATAAAATTGGAGGGCGAAAGCCTGCGATGCTCGAACATCGCATTTATATAGATTTATATATTGTTTGCCTATATGTGGCTTGGCCTATATATACTTTCCATTCCGCATTGTTGCGTGGAGATTTATCATTGATTGCACTTGTAAGGACGCCTCGAAGGCATCAAATTTACACTTGAAGTGTCTCGGGCCAACGCTTTTCCTATTTTGTCACTTCGGAAACCCCAAGTTCCCCCCTCTCTATATATCCCTCCACTTTGGATAGTTCATTGAACTGAAAGTGTGAATCGTTTGGGGTCGCCTTCTAAATTCCTTGTTGTGCCCACCGAATAATCAGATGAATTCCATTTTATTGGCGCACATTTTTAGATTAATCCGATTGCCACCAACAAACGAATCAATTACACACAGATTTAATCAATTTTCCGGTATTAACTGGATTATGCAATCACACTTCATTATTCATTAAATGTATTCTATTATTAATTTTTGTATTTAGGCAAAGTTTTATTTCCCAAGCACTTACTTTACATGTTGTTAATAGATAGATAATAAGGGCTTTTAAGGTTTTATGTTGTTTCAGAAACTGACACTGTACTTAAGTCGGATCCTGCTTACAAACTGACTTTGCCTTTTTCCCTGATTCAAATGCAAATTACGAAGTGCTCTGAAGCCTTAAAGTTCTCCACTTGCAGGAGCACCACAATGAAACTGAATGATAACAATTTGGTTTGCATGGCAAAGCCGTTTCCAACCGAAAACCCAACGGCGCTTGTTACCTCAACGTTGCTCCTTTGGAGGTCTTGCAGCCAGCAGCACGCTCGCTCTTGGTAATCTTTTTACCGCATTTTTGTGGCCCACATGGCTGGCTGCAGCTTGCAACCGCACACCGACATGCCAATTGTGGCCAAGACGGCGGGACTTTCGGGCGGGCCCCCAAAGATGATAAAAAGCGCAGCGCCGAATGCTCCTCAAACATGGCAGGAAAACTGAGTGTTAACCCATTTGGCTGGCTGGCAGTTGTTGTTCTGCGGCTTGTTACATATTTTAGCAGCCAGTGTTTTACGCTCTTTTTACGGCCTTTTCTTCTTTCTTCTCCGTCCCACTTGATTGCCCACAATCATTTCACTTGAACGTGGGCTCTTTACGTTTCTACAGAAGGCGAGGCGAAGTTTATAGTTCATACACGAGCATATTATTTATCTGAACAAAAGAACATGGCAAATATTTGCAATGCTGTAATTTAATTAAAAATATTCTTTGCATCCTTGGCATCCAAATGGTTGTTTTATAAGGTTTTGTTTACCGTAATATATATTATTGTTTATTTTTAATTGCTTTGCTTTGAACTTAAATATTAACTGGCTTTAAATGTAATATTCCGGATACTTAAACATGAAACTAGAACCTTTGTTTTATGGTGCTAGACTTATTCTTGTTTCCACACACATTTTTATTTTATGTAACACAACACTCTTAATCCGGATAGTTTAACCTTTAATCTTGTGTTTGTTTTAGTTTTATTGCTTTCCCCCCCTTAATTAGAACCATTTTAGCGAACTCATAAACTTTCATGTAACTTCACGCTGCTAAGGACAATAGAGAAACCCTTTGATCTCACCTGCCGACGACAGCAGGCTAAGGACGAAATTATCGTTGCTTTTTATGGTTAGGGTTATGAAATGTTTCGGGATGGAGGTATTCATAAATATTCGCACATATTCAAATTCAGGCTCACAGGCTGGCTGGGCTGGGCACCTTTCCTCTGTGTGGGCTGGCATCTAATGGTTTTATGCCTTTATGCCAGAAACCAATTTATTTGCCCATCCTCTTCCTGTTCCGGCTCCTCCATCCGATCCACCAGCGTCTTTTGGTCGAGAGTGCCGGCTTTAAAAGTCGGGCCATAAACAAGAGAATAATAGAATTTCAGGTGAAGGCAGCTCGAGCCTTTTGACCATAGTATTTCCAGTGATAGGATACTATTTTTATATTGCCAAGCCAATACTGTTCTTAACTAGGCTAAGAAGCGATAAGCTGAAAAATGATTATACAAAATGGAAGCAATTATTTTATTAGCTTGGTTGGAAATTAAACATTTGTTCAATTTCAAACTGATAGCTTTATTGGGTTAAATATTCTTCTACAATCGTTCTTAAATTTTCCTTTTTTTTGTTGTTGAAACAGAGAAAAGAACAATTGGGAAAATTGGATTGAATTAGAGACAGGCTAAAGCTACTGCTTCAATTTGCTGCAACCGTAAATGAAGTATCTCGTCCTTCAGTCCGAATGGAAATCAGATCCGAGGCCAACCATTCCGGGTGGGTGGGTGACGACCGACCAACAAGTTTCGGAACCGGCTTATGGAAGGGACAGAGCCCAGGACCCATTAATCAAACACCTCAATCAGTGCCTCTACCTGGCCGCACTTTGGCAGTACTCAAAATTCAATTTCGCAACCACGTCGGCTATGTGGATGCGGATGCGGCCAGGATTTTGTGGCCGGAGGAGGGGGGAACGTTGATGACCTCATTAGCTTCAAGTTGCGATGACTTGGTAGTGGCCTGACTTGGCCATTTTCCACTCACTTGCAGTTGCCGTTGCAGTCTCCGCTGCAAGCCACACACTTAGCCTACTTAACGACTTTGTTAGCCATAAATTCCGCTGGCCAACAATAAGGATATTGGATGTCAACGTCGTCTTGTCTTGCTGGGGGGACATTCCTCACTGTAATTTCCAGTAAAATGAAACGGAATTTCCTCGCCATCTCCATCTCCATCTACATTTCGTTGCCTCACTTTTCACCCTGCATTCCTGCATTTCTACATTCTCCAATTTTCATATTTCCCTCTTATTTCATTTGAATTGTGTGCACGTATTTTATTCTTCTCAGCTTGCTTCTTCGCCTTGCATGCGAGGCCAAAGCAAAGCTGGTCAAAATGAACAAAATTGTTGCTCAAATTGGGGATATAAAAATCCAATTCGAGTGTGAAGAGCAAGGAAATAACGTTAAAGGGAAATATATACAGATATGCGTACATCTTTTGTATCATAAATTCAATAAATCAGCTAAAATCATTGCCTTCTATTTATTTTTGCATTAATCTAACATAAACTTCGTCGCCCCCTCATCACATATCGATTAAAGAAACAGAACCCCAAATAAGGGCGGTCAAAGGAACCTCAATTTCCAATATAAATCAAAACGTTTACAGCTTCCTGTTGGTCCTGCAGGTCCTGTGTCCCCAATCCCATCTGCCCCTTCGCACATGTAAATAAACCCAAAAACAGGGGAACATTCTCATTGTTTGTTTATTTTTTATGCCATCGCATACGCAGCGAAGGATTTGCAGCAAGTTGGGGTCAGGTCGTAGCTCAATATATATGTATATATATATATGTATATTGTATATGTTGGGTTTGCATATAGTTTATCGTCAGGACGGAAGGAAGCAAGACCCACAGCGGGAAATAAATTCAGACGGTAGCAGGAAATTATTTATATTATATTTTTTATGGGTTTTGCTTTTTTTTTTTTTTTTATCATTTCATGTGATACATTTCTGTTGTTTTAATTTTTTGTTTGCTTGCCAAATATTTAATATGCATTTTAATCAAAATAAAAGAAGAGGCAGCCCAAGCTGGACTCCGACCAAGAGGTGGCAATATTAAAAATATACGCAGAGGCCGAGCGAAAACCCAAATATAAATTATAATTTCCGCTGGAGGCCACAGGACACAACATATCCTTCTGGCTACTATATACATATACCACCGGCAGTGACATAAAAAACAATCCCGACAACATCTGCGCGAAGTGCGTTCAATTATTCGACTTTTTTCCGTTGGTCGCTTGTATCCTTGCTGCTCCTTTTGGCCGCCAGCTCACAATCTCCATGGAGCAGATAAACTTTCATCAAGTCAGCGAAAGAAACAGGGCAAACAACAACAGCAAGGCAATTTGTTGAATTCTTTTTTTCAATTTAAAGGGAAATGTTATTGCCACTAAAGGAAAGCCGTCTGGACTTTGGACTTCGTACTGCACTTCATTCTGTATCCTAAAGCGGAATACAATTGTTACAGATGTTTTGAAGCTGAAAAAGCATTCCATTTCTGAGGAGTATGGGTAAAGTTTGAAGTTTTCCTTGGACGGGAATTTATTTGCATAGAAATCACTTTTTAATTGGTTATTTTTTTTAAGAATTGAGTGGTTATTTAATTTATATGTCTGTCCAAATAATTGTTTAAGCACGAAATATTATTAAGCCATCTTAGGAATCTGTATAAATATAATTGGTTGAGGCCTTTAAAGATATTTAAGCAAGACATATTAAATTTTCTTTATTTAACCTCTCCCTGTGCTCTTGAAACCCAAACCAAGTTTTGCCCAACATTGTGTGCCCCATTTAATGATTACTGTCCAACAGTATGAAAAGGATACTTGGGCAAATATTGCTTACCGCACAAGCCAGCATAAAAACATAATTTCGACTTGGCCCTTTCCAAATGCCAAGTCTGAGCTAAGCGAGCGGAAAACGGAAAATCGGAAAAACGGGAAAAGCGGAAGCGGAGTAAAGGAGCAAAGTGGAAAGTGCGCTTCAAATCAGCAAATGGAAATGTATCGAAAGCAAATAATGGAGAGGGGGGCAAAAAAATTCATGATAATGCCAAGGACACAGCTTCACGACGGGGAAATGCCATGAAAAGCCCAGCGGAAAATTTAAGAAAATTCTTCACGACAGCCTTTTCTTTGTCGTGTGTTTGTGCGTTATGTGTGCGTGTGTGCGTGGCCCAGAAGAAAAAGGATTAAATCAATGTTGTGGAACAAATTGTGTTTTGTGAACGGCATGAAGGTAATGCAGCCGAGCCGTATTTGATATCCTCGTTTCTTCCACCGATTTTGAGCCGCTGCCAACAAGGCAAACGCATAACGAGGGTATAGTATTTCCGAGTGGGCGTGGCCCCGCCCTCCCCCCTCCGACATGACCACACACGATGTCCCATTTGATTTTGATGGCGTGAAGCTCACACGAGCGTTAATAATCTGAGCACACATGAAACTGGCACAGATGGATGGCACGGGAATGGGCAGGGACAACTTCTTCTTGGAAATTAACTTGTTAGATTTGCAAAATCTTAGAGAGAATCTTTTTGGGTTTCTTTAAAGCACAATTTAAATGTTTTTTCAAGTGCTAAACTTTTAAAGACTTAACGCAGTGGTGTATTTCAATATTATTCAATGGCACTTACAAAGTGTTAATTAAGTGGAAAAGATGGTTTACCTCCAAAACTTAAATGCATTTTTGCCACTTGTGGCTGCACTTCGGTAATTAAACTAAACCTGCGGTAATTAAATTAAAATATTATATAACAAATGTATATATAACACATCTTGTTTGTCCCCTTCGGCGTAACTAAACAGATTGACGTTAAACTTCTGTTAGTTATTTAATTAATTATCTTTTAACCAACAGTTTTCCATTTAAATGGAACTATAAACAATTAACTCACCATTCTAAATATACAAATAATTTTAATATAAGCAGAACTAAAAGTAAAAGTTAATTTTTTGTTTTGCATAAATGTTTTCATTGCATTTTTAATACAAAAATTCATCAGTCAATCAACTTAGTTTTTATTGTGATCGAACTGTACTTTTTATGTTTTTTTTTTTTTAATAAAAATACATTTCTCTAGTGAGAATATAAGAACTACCCTATCAACGTAAAACCCTTTTCGCAATTAAACACCGCACTCCGTGACACACAATCCACTCAGTCTTTATTGCACTCGATTAGAAGTAAACCTATGCCGAACCACACCTCCGCCCGCATCTATGTGAGCAGCTGGTCCACCTGGAGAAGGGGGCGTGGCAGTTCTGCGACAGCCATGGCCAAATCGGCCACCGAACAGGCATATAGATAGCCCTTCTTCAGGTTACCCTTGGCGTTGCTTTTGTGCAGCCAGCCCAGCCACTCCACCTGCTCCTCGACGGGATCGCAGATGATGTAGGACTCGTGGATCTGGGCCATGGTGGCGTGTGGATTGTTCACGCCCAGCAAAGCGATTCCGCGGGTCGGATTCCCGTTGTCGATGAGAACGCGATAGAAGAGCTGGGGAACGGCGACCATTCCCCTGTTATTGGCATCGGTGGTCAGGTGAAGGGTTCGACTGCCGGCCAACTTCATTTCGCCAAATGTGCCCGTATACACGGTGGCCGAGATTCCCGACCTGGCCACATATCGTCGTGTCGAGTCCTCCAAAACGGCCCACTGCCCACCGTTGAAGCTCTGCCACTGCGGGGCAACATTCACGTAGTTGAAGCTACTCCTCTGCTGGCTGGCAAAGATCAGATCCGCCTTGGCCGCCAGGTGGCCGCGGGCCAGGAACAGACCGGCCTTGACATCGATGAGACCCGGCGCTGCCGTTAACAATTTCTCCTGGCTCTTGTGCGAATAAATCCTGGCCATGTCAAAGCCCGTAAAATGGCCGGCGGTGCTGAACTTCAGGCGCTTAACGTTCTTTTGGAAATGCACATTGGCGGGAGTCATTTGGTGGCGGGCGTAGTGGGTGCGCAGGTGATCGGGGTCGTGGCAGAGCTCCATGGTGGCCACAAATCTGCCATCTCCAATGTCGTAGCCCACGCGATACTGGAACGAGGTGGCGTCCTTCCCGCAGCGCCTGTCCAATTGCTCCACGGTGTAGGGAATGGAGTGGCTGCAGACAAAGTCGCGGAATTTGATTTTCGCCCCCGACCACTCAAAGATGGTGTCCTGCACACACTTCACGCGAATGGAGCGCAGTTCGGCATCCAAGGACTCCCCGTTCGCGGGGGCGAATGGCTGGCTGCAGTGCAACTCGATGATGGCACCGCGGGGAACCTCCAGCTGTCCATCATCGTTGGGCAGCCAGTAGAGATCCGTGCCGGGGCGGAGGTAGAGGGGCTGCACCTTGTCCGCGGGCGGGAGGTCCTTTTGCATGTCCACTCTGCAGGGGGCACCTGAAATCGGGAGAGAGTGTTTAGGAGTTTAGGTGTGGCTGCACTTCACTCGCACACTTGTTAGCTTCATTATCTAACTACACTTGCTAACTGAATGCTTCCGAAAGTTAAAAAGTTGCTGGCACACTTTATAACTTTCTTGTTTAAACAAGAAAGGAAGCTAGCTTCGGCGAACCGAAGTTTATATACCCTGGCAATCATCACAAATGTCGAGCAAAATGTATTAAGCTATATGATATCGTCGTCCGAACTTTATGAATATTAATTAAATTATCAAAGAAAGAAATCACTTCTAGAGATATGCTACTTCAAAATCTGATTGAAATTAGAAAATTTATGGACTTCGAACTGGTGAAATTTGGTCAATTTTCAGCAAACCCATATTTTGGAAATTGAAAAAATCGGCCAAAAAATCAAAAATGACCTAATTATGCAGTTTGTTATAGAATAGAATATGTATAAAAATATTATCAAAAAAAGCAATGCCTTTAAAACCAATGTGTAACTTAAGTTTCAAGCTTTGGAATATTTGAACAGGTGTTTATTGTTATGAACTCTTTCGTGGAATTTTAATTCCAACACAAAAATACTCAGCAGTCTTTTATGCAATTTGTAAAATGTAAAACCTTAAATTAGTGAAAGCAAAATTGGTTCTCTTAAAGAAGAGCTCTTTGAATACAAATCTTATTGGCTTGCGCATCCACTTACCTCGCTCGATCGCGGTTCCATCGATTTGCAGTCCGTCGAGATCTTTGATGATCTGACCCACATCTGGAATGGTGATCGGCTCACGTGCCCGAATCTCTCTCAGAATAACGATCGCCAAAACCAGACCGACGAACTGAAGTCGCACCATTAGCTTCATTGTTCTCGATACTCGACCGCAGAGTTTGCTATCTAACCGCCGACTGAATAATTTGTTTGGTGAACAGGTGTTTTATATTCTCATTCGGAACTCTCGACATCCACATTTCTCTTTTTCTCTTGGCAGCGTCAAGCTGTCTGCCTTCTCTTTCCATTTAGCAAACAGTTTGTTGATTTTTGTTGTGACCTCTCAGCGAGAATGAAGCGATGATAATATTATTGACATTTTGTTGCTGTTGTATAATTATGGATTTATTTACTTTTGTTCTGTAAAAGTTCTTCCGAATTTCTTTGTATAACTATTTAGGTCAAGGTTGCACAAAGTTCTTTGTCTGTAGTGGAACTTTCTTTGCGAGGTGTTAATAAAAAGCACCCAGTCCTTCTTTTTAAACTGATCATACAAACAGCTTCAATATACAGTACGATCACATCATTAATTCATTTTGACATTTACTTTATTCCATTATATCTGGCTTGATCTTTTGTTGCATTGACCTTTATATATAAACAATGTCGTTTAAAATTGTGATTCACAAATAACTTTTAACTAATAACAACAAACAAATAACCAAAACTTCACGTTTCATTAGGGTAATTACATTAAAAGATTTAAATAAATAGTTTTAGTGTCAATTTAATTTTGGGGCGTACAAATTTCTAACCATATGAATTGTAATCGTTGTAATTGTTATTATTGCCATTATTATTATTTCCATTATTATTATTGTTGTTGTTATAGTCATAGTTTGGTCGCGCAGTTGTATACGTGTTGTAGGGATTATAGTTGCTATATGTCGGATAGGCGCCATTTGCTCCGTAATATGGATTGGAATTAACTCCCGTTCCCGTTGCAGCTCCGATTCCCATTGGAAGGATTACTAGGGGTTCCACAATAATGCTAGTTCCACCCACCCCACCTCCTCCTATCGGAATTCCCGGACCACCTTGGGGAATCATTGGCATCATGGGATTGGGACCTGGAATCGGTCTTCCCATCGGCATTGGCTGTCCCATATACGGTGGGTAATAGCCTCGTCCTGGAGCGGGAATATTCATCGGAATAGGACCGGAAACCGGCATTGATCCTGGTATCGGCATTGGTACAGGCATTGGTCCTATGGGAATCTGTCTAACCGATCGTTTATTTAATGGTTGTTTAATGGCTGTTTCACGTCCTTTTTCGCGGTCCGAATTTATTTCTTCCAAAGAAGCTAGCAAGATGACAAAATAAATTCAAAGAAAATATATTTTGGTGCAAAAGAGAAGTAATTGAAAAGTTGGCAAACTAAGTTTAAAGCTTCCGATATTGTCTTTTAACAAACTTGAACTCTTTATGTAGAAAAGGCTTTTGCCTTAAGATGATCCGTCCGAAAATGGTAAATTAATATTATAATAATATGACCTGTAGTTGGGCAAATAAGGGCTGTAAAATGAGTTAGGTGGGTTATCAGTAGAACCCCCAAAAATGATGGATAGGACATCCCTACTGAGAAAAAAAGTTTGGAATTAGGTGGGTTTCCTTGTCCTGGCATATTGGCATATTGATACTGATACGGATATTGTGGATTGGGTCGAGGTTGAGGTTGAGGTTGTGGTTGAATCACATATTGCGGAACAGCTTGACGCGGCTGCTGAATTGGATACGGACGAGGTGGTAGATAAACAGGTGGCATTGGACCAGGAACTCTCACAGGCTGAACTGACATTTGTGGCGATCGCCGAAAGCGGAACCCATCTGGTGGATACAAAAAAAAAACGAACAATTTATCATGAATAAAAGTATACAGCAGTTTTATTATTTTATAACTAACTTTTAAGCACAAACAGATTCCTTTTGTAATGTAAAAAGTAGGTCTACAAAATTAATTTTAAACATGAAACTATCAATCTGTATGCTAGCTTAAGTATTTTAAATATTTTCTAACGAGGACACTCTGTAATAAAGAGTATATCAATCTTCTAACTCCTTTATTAAAGCTTGATAATTTATTTTATATAATATTTTATTTATAATATATTTAATTTTCAGCCAGCCAATGTGAGGTATATTAAATAGTTATTAGTCGCAGAGGGGTTGGCTGATCTAGCGAGGGGGTATCCATATTGTCCATAGGGACTTGATCGCACTCTTGGAAAGCAATTATAGTAGCAAGGCGGAGTGGGGGGAACTAATTTTGGCACGTTGGCCGATCGTGGCTGTGGATAGGATGGTAATCCCGCTCTAGAACTCGGAGCATATCCTGGATAGTTGCATGCATACGGATAGAGCGGACTGACAGTGCAGGGTGAACTTTGACCCCTATTAAGCCAAGGATTCAGCTGTTGTGGTTGTTGAGAACCATCCTGAACAATAACCAAAACATTAGCTTGAGTTTGTCCTTCGTGTGTGGCAAATTTAGCTGGATCGCTGAAGTCTGTTAGCAGCTCAAAGTCATTATCCCTATAAGTCCGATTGCGGTTTGTGAAGGTGCTGGGAATGATGATACTACTGCGGGTGTTGGCGATGGTCAGTGTGGTGTCGATGGAGAAATCGCTGGCCAGCTGATCTGAAATGGATCAGTTAAGAGAGCCAGATTTCAGTGGTGATGATCGGTGAAATTGGTTTCAATTATTATTGGTAACGAACCTGCTTTGCATTCCGGATAAGTTCCACATTTCTCTCCTTCTCGTTGATCGGGATCGTTGCAGGAAAGTCTGGACATAATGCACTTTTTACCCGACACACAGGCTATATCATCACAAGTCAGACCGAATTCTTCAAGGTTTGTTTGGAATTATTTAGAATTTCTCTTTTATCCTGATTCATAAACTTACTTCTGTATGCTTGCGCAAAAACTGTTGTGGCTAATAGCAGATAAAATCCAAAAATTGTATTCATTTTGATCCGATTTCGTTTAAAATTGTGAAGTAACTAAACTCTGTATGCAAAAAGCCCTCAAATTTATACCAAAATTCACGCTTGAAAAACTTTTATAATTGTTATTTGCTAAAATAAATTACCAAAATATAAACATTAGTATGCCAACTCTTTCTGACTTCAATAAAATATCATAAAATAATATCAATTAAAAGTTATGGGTAATTTGTCATAAGTATTTAAGACTCATCGTATATTTCAACATTCAATCTTTATTTAATTAGTTTTTTGGCTTTATAAAACATGTACAAGTTCTTTTAACTAAACAAAGTTCAAGGAATAAATAGACATGGAATAATAAAGCAAAGTACGTAACTGCTATCCTTGATATAACTGATTAATTGATAAAAATCAACTGATTAACACGTATTTGAAATCAAAACAGTTGTAGGCCCTTGAATGATTATTCAGCAAATATAAATCTTGACTTGCGTGTGTAGCTCTATCTTTCATTTGTTTGGCCGCTAAGAAATCCATTATAATCATTAACCAGGCGTATTCCTCATACGCTTTGGGACATTTGCGGTGCGATAAGATAAACAATAGAAACCGCACAAGTAAGACAAGGTAATTCCTTTGCGTCGATAAGTAATGCGAAAGTCACTGCCATGGGGACTTTGAATTGGGCCAAGGGATTGCCGCTCGGGGAAAGCCAGAGAAAATTCACCGGCAGTGGAAAACGTGCCGCACGTGAGCAAATATCACAATGGCTGGGTAAATAAATAGCTGTGTGCCGGCCATAAACGATAACGCCATGCGTTTGATAACCTGACTCTTATCAATATGTCCAACATGCAATAAAGTCCAAAAAGAACAAAAACGAAACGTGATTTCTCTGTTTTATGACCCATAACAACTAAATTTAAACGTGAGCTCTTGGCCTTTCCTGCCAGAACTGCCAAGAAAAAACAACTCCAAGATTTGGTAACATTTTTATTGGTTTTAAATTAAGAAATTCGGTATGTTTGGTTATTCGTTTATCTACGAAACTAAGTCTTAAATGCCCAGCACTCCCTTAACCTGTAAATCATCCAATGGCAGGTCTTTCACCACAGAAGTAAAGTCTTCCACAGTGCAAGCATAGGAATAGCCCTTCTTCAGGTCCTCCTTGGTCCAACTGACCCAAGTTAGTTGATTGCCAATATCCTCGCAGACAATATATTCCCGCTTAATTTGCTCTAAATCCACATGGGGATTATTTACGCCAATTAGAACGATACCTTTTTGGCTCTCGCGATCGACAACCACGCGGAAGTACAACTTCGGCACTGGAATCAAACCATTATTGTTTTCGTCGAAGTCCAGGTAAAGCTCCCTTTCGGTGCCATTCACATCGGGCAGGGTGGATACTCCCCAAGTGCCCGTATAGCAATCTGCGGTGATGTTTTCATCGGCCACGAACTTCCTTACACTATCCTCAACTCGTTCCCAGTTTCCACCATTGAAGGTCTGCCACTGGGGAGCCGCATTCACAAAGAAGAACGTCGCCTGTTGCTCAGCTCCGAAGACAAAGTCGGTTTTGGCCGAAAGGTGACCCCGAGCCAGGTAGACATTACCACTTATGTTGAAGTAGGGCGAGGCATCCATGCCCAGGATCTCCGAAACGGTGATATTCTGCCTGACTTGAGTATACAGGGTATTCACATCCTTGCCTCCGTAAAAGTCGCCAGGAATGAAGGTTGGCCGGGATACGGATCGCTGGTATTGGGCACTTCCCGGATGGAGGACATGATGCACATAGCGGGTGACCTCACTCGGTTCATCGTGGCACACATCGAAAGTCTGCAGGAAGTCATCGAAGGAAGTGGCAGAGAGCTGGAATCCAACTTCCAGGAGATCTGTTCCCCCGTTGCAAGGACGATTGGTCCTTCGAGCCGAATAAGTTGGCCAGGAGTTGCAGACAAAGTCCTGCAGCTGATAGATACTTCCCATGGCAAGGAAACTCTGTTGTTGCCAGCAAGTGGAATTCACGAAGCTATAACCAGCGAATAATCCGGTTAAGGGTTTGATGCAGTGGAACTCCAAGGATTCTCCGTGCTTCAACTGAACTATTCCTTCGTGGTTTGGCTCCAAATATCTCGCATGACCCAGTTCGTTTCTTATAACGTATAAGGGTGCCGGATCCTTAAGATCTCCATTAACTTGGAAGCTGCAAAGTTCGTTTTCCAGGGGCATAGAACTCACGCCAAGTATTCCCGTGGTCTCCAGTTGATCCGTGGGCAGGTCCTTCACCACCTGGATGAAGTCCTCCACAGAACAGGCATACGAGTAGCCCTTCTGCAGGTCCGTTTTATCCCAGTCCACCCAATCCAACTGAGCACCCACATCCTCACAGAAAACGTAGTCCTGCAGGATTTCCGCCAGAGTAATGTGAGGATTGTTCACCACTATAAGAACCACACCCTTGCGACTCTCCTGATCAATGACAATCTTATATAGTATCTTGGGCACTGGTAGTTGTTTCGTCTCGGCATTCAGATACAGATCGGTCTGCACTCCTTGGGAATTGGGAAGTGTCGAAACACCATAGCTGCCGGCATAGACACTCACGTTGAGTGCCTCGTCGGCCACGAACTGCCGCAAACTGGATTCCACTGCCAGCCAATTGCCAATATTGGTGCTTCTCCATTGCGGAACGGCATTCACATAAAAGTGGGTGGCTCTCTGAGCGGAACTGTGAATAAAATCAAGGCGAGTGGCCAGTTGACCTCGGGTCAAGTAGAGATCCTTGGTGCTGTCGAAATACTGACTGGCATCCAATCCCAGAGCTGAATTGAATGCCTCCAGCTGATGGGTTTGACCATACAGAACGTTGACATCTTCGCCAGTGTAGAAATCACCGCGTAGATAACCAGGTTGAGCAACTCCCCGCTGATAAGCCAAATTGGCAGGTGTTAGTTCATATCGAGCGTACCTTGAAATCTGCTCTTCTTGATTGTAGCAAAGTTCCACATGCGAAAGGAAACCGGCTGCCACATTGAATCCAATGTGCACCAAAGCCGTGCCACCTTCGCAGGACTCCCCGGATCTCTCTGCGACGTAAGTTGGCCAACTCTGGCAGACGAATCCTCGAATACTCAACTGTTGACCCTCGGCCTCGTACAACTGATCACCAACACAACGAGCTGTTACAGCGGTGTACCTGTTGAAGGGAGAAACCAGAGCTCCAGTGCAATGCAGATCGATGGAGGATCCTTCTTCCACGGTATAGGTTCCATTCTCGTCGGGAAGAAGCCAGCTGAGAGCTCCTTGAGGGGTTAAAAGTGGAGCAGGGTCCTTGAGATCTCCATTTATGCTGAACTTGCAGGGGTTTCCAATTGGAGAAGGCGATGTAACGGGGGGAATTGAAGTTGAAGACGAGGAAGATGATGAAGCGGGTTCAACTGTAGTGGAACTAGGTTCCTCAGTTGTTGAAGAAGTTGTTGAACTCGGTTCCACAGTTGTTGAAGAAGTTGTTGAACTCGGTTCCACAGTTGTTGTAACCGTAGAAGAGCTTTCTTCCGTTGTGGGTTGAGTTGTGGAAGAAGGTGGTTCAGTGGTGGTTGAAGCAGTAGATGAACTTGGTTCTTCGGTTGTTGAACTTGGCCCCTCAGTAGTTGTTGTACTAGGAGGTTCAGTAGTAGTTACGTCATCCAATCCCAGAACTCCATTTGTTTGCAGATCCTCCAGTGGCAAGTCCTTGACCACTTCAATGAAATCCTCCACAGTGCAAGCATAGGAATAACCGGCATGCAGATCTGTCTTGAGCCAAGTCACCCAACTAAGCTGGTTCCCAATGTCCCTGCACAGAACGAAATCCTTCAGAATTTGCTCCAGAGTCAAGTAAGGATTGTTAATGCCGACAAGCACGATGCCTTCACGAGTCGCCCGATCGATAACCACACGGAAATACAAAGCAGGCACGGGGATCAAGCCATTGTTGTTCTCATCGAAGTCCAGATACAGCTCCCTTTCGATCCCATCCACATCGGGCAGGGTGGAAACACCCCAAGTGCCAGTATAACAATCAGTGGTGAGATTGCGATCGGCCACGAACTTCCGGACACTCGTCTCCACTTTCTCCCAGTTGCCGCCATTGAAGGTTTGCCACTGCGGTGCCACATTGATGTACAGGAAAGTAGAGTGCTGAGCTGCTCCGAAAATCTGATCCGTTTTGGCGATCATGTGACCCCGAGACAGAATACGATCATCACTGTAGTTGAAATAGGGCGAGGCATCCAGTCCGAGGATCCCACTAATGGTGATGTTCTGCTGCACTTGGGTGTACTTATTGTTCACATCCTTGCCATTATAGAAATCAAGTTCTATAAAACTGGGTCTTGCTACTCCATGCTGATAATCGTAGCTCGAGGGATAGAGAACATGGTGAACGTAACGCGTTGCTTCCGCCTCGGCATCGTGACAAAGTTCGTAGGACTGCAGGAATCCACCATCTTCCACCTCGAATCCCACCTGGACGAGATCGGTGCCTCCGTTGCAATCTTTGCCAGTTCGAAGGGCCGCGAAAAGGGGCCAACTTGTGCAGGAGAAATCAGCAAACGAGTAGATGAGGTCATCAACCAGGAAGTACTTGTTCTGCAGACACGTGGCCGTCACCTGCGATCGATTCGCAAACGGGGCTGCAAATCCCACTCCCGGGCAGAACATATCCAAAAGTTCGCCATTAACCAAACGCACTGTGTCCGTGGGATCCGGCACCACAATTTCATAAGAGTTGTGTCGCGAAAAAACGGGAGCGGGATCGCTGAGGTCACCGTTCACTTTGAACTCACAGTCACCGCGCACTATGACACCTTCATCGCCTTCGGCGAAGGATTCTGGCAGGATTCTCGGCAGCCTACCGAATACTTTTCCCACATTGCCGGCGACCAGCAGCGCCAGGATTAAAATCGAGCAGCGATTGCTCCACATCGCGAGGAATTTGTGCATGCAATGCCAAATGTCGGACAGGCGTAGTGCCACCTTATATAGCCACACTTATCGCACAGATAACGTTATTTTAGGGCGACCCGATTGTAAATGCGGCCGTAAATATCTCCGTGTTATGAACCGAACACAAACGCAATCAATGCTAAGCTGTCGATAAGCGCAACCACTTCTGAAATCCACTTCAATTCACAGCCTGATCGCATCTGAACTAATCGCCTTTCGTTAATTCTCACACGTAATTAGGATTGTGGATCAAATCGATTTTAGCGAAGGAGTAGCTACAATTTTAATTAACGTCATTCGCAGACGACGACGACTTGGCGAACTTTACCATGTTATCACAGAAAGTTTTTCTAGTGAAAAAGTACTTTCTCAGCAATTAGAAATAGTAAACGATAAGGCACCATTCATAAAACTATAAAATTAAAAATATTACTCAGGCATAATAAGCCATAATCTATTAACCATAAACCTAATTGCAAACAGTTTTCAATTGCAAGTTGTATTTATACTACTATTATCTTATAATTGTTTATTTGAGTTGGCAGGCGTTAAAATTTTAAAACGTGATGCATTTTTTTGTTAATTAAAAGGAAAACATGTTGAATTTGGTGAAACTTTTTATAAAACCCATTACCAACAAACTAACTGACCCATTAGCGATTTTTAATTGATTGATGGATCCAACGCCAAACAAACATCTAATTAATTTACTTATTTAGTTAGAGCAGAATTTGATATCGAAAGCAAATGTTTGCCGAAAGAGTCAGAGGCCAACTAAATAAAATGCACTCAATCAACATCAACGACAGACCAAGACCGGCAACATTCATATTGACCAAATCAAATAAATGTTGGGTCGACTGATGGCCACTGCCGAGTGGTCGGATATGCTATATACATATAGACATGGCCACTGACTAATTTGCAGTACTGTTCGTGCGTGTGAATTTTGGCAATTGAATGATGCTTCCTCTCGTCGCAATTCCTTTTGGCCACAGGATGTCTGTGCTCTGGAAACGAACAAAAACCTGCATGTAAAACAAATCATTAGGTAATTGAATTTGGTTTAGGAAAAATACAATTTATTCGCATTCGCAGCTGACAGCTGCTACGCACAGAAGGCCTGCCAATAAAATGCAGTATATATACTACAAATGTCATATGAATTGAATAGAAATGTTGCCATCAAATTATGTATAAGAGAAATATTAGACAAAGTAAATAGAAAATAAAATAAAAGTCATGAAGAAGTTGAGCATTTAACACTCTTAAGTAAAGAATTAAAAAAAATAGTACTACATAACAAATTGAATACATTTTTTAAAGAAAAGCAAAAGGAATATTAAGGGTAAACAATAATTTAATGGAAATCTTCTTATTGTACAAATTTGTAGATTTCATCATTGTCACAAGCCTTTAAAGCTGCGCACAAAGCTATCGCGGTTATTTATCAGCCTCCATTCGGCATATGCACAATGACAATATCGTGTAATTGTCATAATTTCAAATATGCAAATTTGCAGGGACTTTTTTCTGGCATGGACATGCCAACAAGCGACTCGCATTAATCAATTACAATGTTGGGCTAGGTGCTAGTTTGGCGCATGAACGTGACAATTCGGGCATAAATCCTGATTTTCAATAATTTATGGCAACTAATGGAAAACACATGGCGTATGCGCAATGTTAGATGTGCTCACCTTGCAGCCGGCAAAATTGCAATTAAAGAGATGGCTGCTGCGCTGCGTTGGGTGGTGGCGAAAAGGGGTGCTGCGAGATACGAGCATCTGGCAATGTTAATTATAATTTTCCATTTACACTTCTTTTCAATTTCCCTCGCTCAGGGTGCTCAGCTCAATTAAAAGTGCATTAAGCTACGCTCAGCCAGACACAAGGTTAAGGCAGCCAGCCAAGCCAGCAGATTGCTCTCGAAAGGATTTTTATTCGCCTGATTGCAGTTACTTAATGAAAGTGCATAATTCGACAGGGTCACTGCAGTCAAGGCTGTTGATGTTGAGAGTGGGGGTTTTCTTGAAAGGCCCCTTGAAAATGAAAACATTGATTTTTAGAGGCTGCAGTTATCAGAATCAGAATCAAATGTAGAAAACCAGAAGGTTTTAATACAAACAAAACTATTATTATTATTTGTAATTGGAGGAGAACGATTTTTGTACCTAATATTTTTTTGATTATCTATAAGACACTTTATTCTCAATATTGGAGTAATAAAATTGTTTTTTATTAAACAAAAACTTATTCTGAATTAAAAAAATTAGTTTCAAAAGCCAAGTTTTCCGCAAATATAATAATTTCCCACAAATATGTGAAATCTACATTTTGCACTAAAATTGTTTACGCTTTTTCAAAGTTAAGCCTTGGGATTCATAAGAAGTTTAATCCATAAAAATCGGTTGAAATCTTTAAGCAAAAGCTGTTGGTAAACGGACAAACATGCTTGTTTTATGCCACCTCACCGTTCTTTTTTTACTTTTTTTTTGCTCTCCGAAACGGAAAAGTTTCTTGCATGAAATTTCGCAGAGTACGCATACGCCGTGTGGCCCAAAGCCGATGCGGCATTGAATAAATGAAGACGAGTGCAAGCGACGGCAATGAAGCTGGTCAAAACGAAGCTGCCACTGGCAATGGCGGAAAGTGGATAGCGGATAGTAGATGGTGGAAGGCGGAAGGTGGAAGGTGGAGGAAGGGGGTGTTGCCAGCCATCGTCCAAAACAACCAAAACAACAACAGAGGCGCAAACAACCAGGCGGCTCTCAAGTGCAGAACGCCAAACAAGAGCCGCCAACTGCAAAAGACAGCGAACAGTGAAAAAAGCGCAACCAAGGCATTTTTTAAGCGCATTTCTCTTTTCTTTTTTTTTTTTTTTTGTGTGTATGCTGGGCCATATTTAAATTGATATGCCTGAGATTTTTTGTTCGCTGCGGTTTTGCCCTCCGCTGAACGCAAGGAAAGTTTCGCAGTTTTCCAGCCGTCCCTTCGCGGAAACATTTTAATTTAAATGTTGAAACGTGACAATGGCGTCGAGTCTGAGACTGTGGATATGAGGTTGTCTCATGTGTCGCGCTGTCAGTCAAATTTAACCATATACCCTATGAAAGCCAAGCCAGTGAAGCGCACAGACTTAAAGTCCCTGAGCGTTGCTAAAGATGTTGGCCTAAAAGTTATTATATGCAAAATAAGGAGTTTTGCAGCGTGGATTTTTTGCTTTCATATGCAAATATTATAAAGTTCTTGACGCAAATTATTTTAAGCAACCTGAACATAACAAGTAGGTTTTCAAGATATTTAACAGATATGAAGTTCATTTGAAATGCAATCAAATTGAAATTGCTGGCTGGCTGCAGGGTATTCAGACGATTGGGGTTCTGTTGTCCATGTTTTTGGGCCCCGTGGTCAAAACCCTCGATGTTGTTGAGGATTACCAAGTGGATTACCAGCAATATCCAAAGGGGTCCTTCCCGGCACTCAGTTGACAAACGCGAAGGGGAAAAAAGGCTGAAACGCTGTTAAATTATGCCCGCTCAAAAAGAGTTGAATGACGCGAGGGGACATGGTATGTGGAGACACAATGGGGGGTAGGATGGGTATTGGGATGGGGAAAGGATGGGGTAACAGCGAAGAGCCTGTGGTTACCACAGCTCAAGTGCCAATTAATAAGTTTGCCTTTGGTATGAATGAATGGCAACCCTTGCGGGGAGCCCTCGTCAACCCGTCTGATTGCCGCTGAAGAGTTTGGGACTCGGTATTCGCCGCCAAAAAGGGTGGTGGTCAGCGTTCTCTGCATGAATTATTCAAAGAAAAGGATATTAAAAGCACACAGATCCACACACATCTACATGCGTGTACACATGCACTCGCTCTGTATCCTTTTTATGGGCCCAATCCACTTGACGCTCCAGCGGACGAGGATGCGCCTGAGTAATTGGAAGTTTTTACTGCTGCCTCGTTTGCTTCAATTTCGCGTTCTGACTCTGACTCGGCTTTTTTTCTGCGCCGGGCATTCCCCATCATTGATGAAGCAAATTTTAATGAATAATGTGCGGACACACGCGTTGTGATAAAATATTTACGACCCCTTCATCGGCACTTTTGACCAAGGGAATATTTCGGGTGACTCAGTGGAGGGAATATTACTTGAGGAAGTACGAAACTTATATTTCTTTTTTATTTAATTAAAATTTCAGTAGAGAAATCGTCAATCGAGTTAAGTAAATAATATAAGAGAACTTAATTGTCCTAGAAAATAATATTAAAGTGCATAAAATACATACAACTTTAATATGATCCATTAATTTCATAGTTTATTTTATTTATGAATCAATGTCATAAATCATTTTTCATACACCATTTCAGAATAAACGATGCAGCTCACATTACGGCTCAATAATTTAACCATTGTATTTTCTTATTAATGCATTTCATTAAGAGTCCGTTCTGGATAATTCAATTTATCGGAAGCTCGCGCTCATTTTTATTCAGTATTCCGAAATACAGCCCTTCTTTTGTTTCCTTTCGCTCGATAAGGATTCTTGAGAATTTTCATTCTTCGTTTTCGCATTTCAATTAGCATATCGTTGGTGAAGTGCACTTATATACATACCTACATATAATGCCCGAAAAAATAATAATAAATAATGTAGCGTGGCCCCGCTGAATAAAATGAGAACAAAGTGCCAGTAATATCAGAATTTTCTCGAGCGCATTGTTGCCATTGTTTCGTTGACTGTTGTCTGTTTTTCTTTCACTTCAGCTGAGCTTGTTTCACTTTCCGGCTCTGCCCGTGGGTCTCTGGGTCTACAGGATTCTGGGCAATGTTTCTGCTTCTGTTTTCTGGACCAGGTTTCGCAGCAGTTCTGGCCGTAGCAACATTGTCTGTCTGTTGATTTTCAGTTGGCCATGTTCCACTGCACTTGCACTTGTTGTTCGCCGGCAAATTGTTGTTGTTTCTGCTGCAGTTGCTATCTGCT